ATGCCTCTGTTGTCCAGTATCCAAACATGTAACACAACATGAAAAGTAAGCTCTCTTTTACTTAAAACAAAGAGTTACAAGTTATTCATTTGTTTTTGGACTTCTGACACAGTTTAACGTGATTAAAATGTTAAAGCAATTTTCTTATGTTGGCGTAATGCTGACTAATAAAGACTTCCCTGTGTGGAGATAAAATCTAAGATGTGTTTAATTTACATGTTGGGTATAGTCACTGATCTTATCAGATCTGTATTATTATCAGTATTAGTATACCGGGGAGTTCTCTCATCATGTGATGTTTCAGATCTAAACTACATGTCAAACTCTGAAATTTATGTTTGTCACATGCTGTCAGTACTTACAAAAGTTTAGACAGGAAATCGACTTTCCATCCAATAAATCAAAAAGTAAACAAAGACATTCAGTGATGGTGTGACAGTATTTCTGAAGGAGGCACCATAATGCATCGACAGACTGGGCTGAGGTTTTTTTATGGGCTCTCAAAGCTCAGACAGTTTGTACAATGATAGTCACACAGCCCGAGCATTAATGATGAACAGAATGTTATTTTGGAAAGCTGTGTCAGGTCTTGCTCATTCAATTAAACTGCCTAATGAAGCTGATGAAATAGATGTAAAATGACAGTAAGAGAGATAATCAGCTAATAAAGTTTCAAGAGGTTACACGTTTGAAGCTGTGCTGTGCTGTGTTACAGCCAAATGGACTGGAAGCTAATAAATATGCAGAAAGTAAAAGGGACATAGGTCGACAGGCTGTTGAATCTCTGGCAGTGTCCCTCCTTGCCATTGCTGGACATGTTGTTTTTCAAGCTGTTGAGTCTGCAGTGGGCCCATCTGTGCTATTCCCTCTTAAAAAACCATCAGTAGCAACAATATTCCATTTCTTAAACTGTCAACATTGAAAGAGAAATGAAGTTATTGCCCAGATGGGATGAAATACAGGGAGGGAGGGGCAGTGTTTTGCATATTAAAGACTAAAAACAATTAGTAAATTGGTTAATTTGTAATTCAAACACTGTCTCTGGGTCTTTGCTAAATGAATGTAAGTATGACAACTGGTTTCCAAGGTTACACAAAGTTGAGATCTTCCTGCGCTGCTCTAAATGTGACATTGAGCCTGCAGATCGCAGAAGACAGGAAGTGGTTTGGGTCTTTCATCTGGGCCAGCGAATACTGCACCACGATCACTCAAGTTTTCCATGCCGAGCACCTAAAAAAGGCTAACCACTTGACTGTGTTTTACATCAAAGATTGACATTATCTCATTTCGTGTGTGGGATCACTAAACAGATACACAAAGCCACACTCTTGTCATGTTTTCCATGGGCTGACATTTGTGAAGGAAGCGGTTTCTCATTCTGTTAAGCATTCAAAATGAAAATAATAAAAGCCTTGTAACAGTCTCATCATTTTAACATCTACCTGCTCAGTTTCTTATGACAACAGAATTGACAGATTACCAGTATTAATGTAATTTTGGCATCTGTCAGTTGTAAATGTAAAAACACAGATGGTTAAAGCTCAAAAAGGACATAGTTAAATAATCAAAACAAATGTCTTGCATTGCAACAAAATTATGTGCAGTAGTTTTTTTCACTACTCCACAAATTTATTGAGAGTTTGAAGTCTGAAGGTACAGAACTTCATACTCACATGATAACACAATGCAAACAAAACCTATGAGATCATATTTGGTCATTGGTTTTAAAGCATGCTATGCACCTAACGGCATAGACAAGCAACCCTGCCTTTTCCCCTGACTTTACCTTCAGTGCCAACATCAGGTTAAAACTTCAATTTATTCAATACTTTTGTTTATTTTATTTTACCAAATTGTGCATGCTAACATGCTAAATTTAAGATGGTAAACATACCTTTTTAATATCAGTGTGGGCTAGCATAGCATTTTCATTGTGAGCAGGTTAGCATGCATTTAGTTTAAAGCACTACTGTACCTAAGTACAGCCTCACATAGCTGCTAGCATGGCTGTTTAATTCTTATTCAACATAAAGAGGAAACGTTTACAGTAAACGCATTTAATTTGTTTTTCCAGCAATATCGCTCTACAGCATCCATTCGTAGCAAGTAAAGCATGATTAAACTTTTCTATGGTTATGCTTGGGTACTCAAAGCACAGGAGACAGGATGTATTTACTTTATTAACATATAACCAAAACTCATATCTGACCCTAAACTTAACCAATGAGCTTTTGTTGCCTAAACCTAACCACACACACAGTCCTGTACTCTACCCAACATCTCCCCCAAACCCTGTCCAAACACTTCACAAACCACAACTTGCCAATGAACATAATTCAGACAGCAATTGCATTTCCCTAAAATGTATTTAGAAAAGCTAATTAGTAGTATATAATAGTATACAAGTAATTTCTAGGAGACTGGATTGACTTAAAGCTGATTTGGTTCAGAAATCTTTCATCCTACTTCTAGGAACCAGCATGGCTTCCTGTTAGCATCTGAATTCTGCTTCACTGTTCCTGATCATCATCACTAACATGTAACATCATAATAACCGCAAACCCCTGATAAAAACACCAATCTCTTATCAAATTGTTTTCACACTTCTTAGAAATCCGTCATATCGTCTATGATCTCAGCCATTCACTCACTCCGTTCTGAATAACAGCCCCATATTGCAGGAGATCCAAATATGTTGACACCAGTAAGAGAGAATATTTGGCCTAATGAAACCAGCCATGCAGGCAGAACTGGTTGAATTTACATATCTGGTCAGGTCACGTTGCATCCACTGTTTGAATTCCCAACTGATCTCTTTAAAAGCTGTTCCAAACGTCTGCTTCTTATTTTAATAGACTCTTCACTGCTGTATAACAATGTCTATTACTGAAGTTATTACTGTGTTTTTCACACAAATATACTTTCTGTAATGTCACTATTTTACTTCTAGTTTCAGGTACCACTGGTATTTCTAAACACTCACAATAGTTATGCAATATAATGTCAATGTCGCTGTTTTCAGCTTTGGGACGAAGTAGTACTTGGTGGAAAGTAAAAAGTACCAATACAACAATCTATACTCAACCATCTATGTAATACTCCATTACAAGTACAAGACTTGCATTCAAAATCCTACTTGATTAAACGTTCATAAGTATTATCAACAAAAAGTACTTAAAGTATCAAAAGTAAAAGTAATTATCTGTGTGACTTATATATTATTGTTTATGGCATTATTATATATGATGACTCATAAATGTGTAAGCAGCATTTTACTGTTGTAGCTGGTCAAGGCAGCGCTACCTTGAACTACTTTATATACTGTTAGGTAGTTTAGTCCAGTGGTTCTCAACCTAGGGGTTGGGCCCCTCCAAAAGGGTCACAAGATAAATCTGAGTGGTCATAAGATGAATAATTGGGTGAGGAAAGGAGAAAAGCCTCTGATACACACATCTATATTCATTTGAGAATTTTTATCTAATCTTTGTTTTTTTTTGTTTTTTTTTACAATTTTACCTCTTTGGGTCGTATCTTTAACAGTATTTTATAAACTGATTGTACGTTTTTAATCTGAAAAGTAACTCGTAACTTCAGCTGTCAGATAAATGTAGATGGAATATAAATATAAAGTAGCATAAATGGAAAACACTCAAGTATCTTAAAATATACAGTATGTACGTGAATGTACTTAGTTATTTTCCAACACTGTGTGAAGGAACATATAATCCTTCAATTTATCTGAATATTTTTAATATTCATTAATATTTTCACCAAATTTGGAGATGCATACAGTAGTTTGGACTGGACGGCAATGATTTCATAGAGGCCAAAATAACAAAATTGCCTCTTCAGGTTTTCTTTTTGTTCTTTAAAAGGATCAATTTCACATTTATGATTTTAGATGTTATATGAATGAACATTTTTAAGTATATTAAAACATTCACATTTTGTGGCCCTGAATTAGAAAAACAGCTTTTGAGTCTCTTCTGAAGGCATGGGGTGCCTGTTCACTTACCCTTTATCACAAGTGAAACAGGAGACGCTGGGAATCCAATCTGAATAGGCTTTGATCAGCTGTGTCCATTTATAAATAACCTTACAGAGGGCTAATAATAGAAGCAATAATGCATGCCCTGCATTGTTTCAGCTTGCCAATGAGGATAAATAGAGAGCTCAGATTATATTTGGGGTTTGAAGCCAGTGAGACCCTTTCACCGCAACATGGGTCCTGTCATATGCGACGGTGCAGTCAGCCAACTTGGCACTTATTTAACAGCACTCCTGCCAAAGACACCTACTTATTACCACCAATAATGGTGCCTCCCTCTCTCCAACACAGGTCACTTTTGTTGTCTTACACAAGCGAACACAACTTGGTTATTATGTTTTTTTTATTTCATTATGTTATACCACAGTTACAGTTACAGCAGGTTATAGTTTGGTCTATCAAGGTCAATTGATATTTTTCAGTTGATGAAATGAGCAAGTGAAACTTCTGCAGTCTGTCAGATCTGTGTGACTCTGAAAAAATACAAAGTGAGATTAGGAGATCACAATCAGAACAAAAGTACATATCCAAGTAAATCACACTGCCACTGCTGCCATCATTAAACTTGTTTTATTTTAACCATGAATTCAGTTTACCTCAGTTTGGTTATCATTGGTAATAATAACAAGAGCTGGTATTGTCAGGTGTATCTCATAGTTTTGTCATACAGGTTTATGTCATATTTAAATTGGAATGAGTCATATTCAGTGTAAACAATACTGATCACCACCTTCATGCGCTGTGGGAAATATCAAGGTATTGATGGAAAATATGGAGAGTGTGTAGTGTTCTGACACATTATCAACAAAGTAAAACTTTCACAAAATAGATGCATATAATGTGTACCCTTTTGGATTGTTTCTATGTTTACACTCCTTGCCAGTGATTGAAGAGGTAACAGTTCCCTGAGGGAAAACTAGACAGACAGAAAAGAACAGAACCATTAGGGAATGAATGAAAATGAAATGTGAAAGTAGTTTGTTTGTTCATAAAGGTGCAGAGATCATCTGGCAATATCAGCAGGCCTTCGAGTTATTCATTTGGAAAAATCTGTGCAGAAAGATGAGTGAGGAAATAAAAGCACACGGATTGAAAAGATAAAGGACAAAGAGATTTTTCAATATAAAGACATAAAACTTTGTAGACCCATCGTAGACGTGTATGTTTGAATTTGTTTTGGTACTTCTCTATTATTTGACCTCTTCCAAGAAGGTCACAGCTTTGGTCCCAATTGTTTGCTTGTTTCTATTCCATCTATCTATCTATTAGTTGGCAGGATATCTGAAAAACACAACATTTTTAAATAAAATTAGGTAGTTAGGGTTAGCCCACTGACAAGGAACAAGGGAATAATTTCATTTGACTTGTCAAGCCAGGAAAAGCACAGGTGTTACAAATAACATTAACAATGGCTCTGTTGTCTTCGAGTGCCAAAGTACAGTGAGCCAGCATGCACAACACCAGGACCCTGAAATTCAAGCAGCTAAATGGAAACCAGCCATCATTAATTTTATTATTTACACCTGCGCTTGTCTTACTGTGACATGTGAAAATGTCTTCAATGAAAAAGGTCTATCAAGTTATAGACCTTATATTGGCAGTCAGCTCACATCATGCAAAGTTTTGAGCAACCTATGATACTTACTGTTAAACTTATTTATATATTTGACATTGTTTATATTTTTGATATCTGCTTGTTTATATTTTTATACTTGCAAAACAATTTCCCTTTGGATAAATAAAGTTATGGCTTATCTTAACATAAGCAATGCTGGATCAAAAACTATAGGCCTACTAATACCAGCTCTTCAATGACTCCGTCCACACCTGAAGTCTGGAGTCATGGCTTCTTATTTTTCTACCAATGTGTTCAAATTCTGCTAACTAATTTGGCCTTCACATGTGCTGCATGCAGTAAAATAGCTGGCACATCACTGAACGCACTATTTACATTTCTAATTTTGCTGTTACTTTACTTTCTTCTGCCACTGCAGCCACAAAGCAGCTCTATGTAGGCTACATTCTTATCTCCTCCTTAGCAGCTCCACTTTACTGTACCTTAAGAGTTTACGAGCAACACGTGAAGGCACCGTATCTTCTTCCTCAAACCTCCTGGAGAGGCTTTTGATTGGCTGCCAGTGACATCATCCTTGCTCGTACGTGGGACTGAAGGCAGTTCAAGCGACACCTCCCCTCTCCCTCCCTCCCCTCTCCTCTGCCAGCCACAGAGGCAGACAGCTCGGCCAAATCCCTCCCACCGCAGGGCCGGACCTCACTGTACAGAAGGATCAAATTTAATATTAATGAAGTCGCGCATTGGCTCCCACTCGCGTCAATCCCGCTGCGCGACTTCTGTAGGCTGGCAGACTTCCTTCAATATTATATATTATTTGTGGGGAGCAGGGTAAAAGTACTAAAAAATGTTGCCGCTCCACAACACGGGGACGGACTGAATGGAGGCAACGTTGTCAGCCAGCGGAGATAATAAATCCGACTGTACTGTACCGCGACACACACCGGTAAGCAGAGATACAAGGCAAGTTTGTGAATTCGTGTCCAAGGCACAAGTTGTTGTTGAAATGCACAGTCATAGAGATTTCACGCAATTCTATAATTTATGAAAAGGAATTATCGCTATATTATTCTTTTAACGACATGAATTACTAAGTGTTTTATTACAGCTGTTATTTTCATTAGACTAGATCTTACCATTGCGACAAAGTTACAATCCCTACCTTTGAAATGCAACCATTGCCTTTATATTTTATTTTTTTATTTTATATGGCGGTGTGAAATTGAATTTCCTTCAGTGTTCAGCTCATCTGATCAGCTCGTCTCGTCCTGAAAGCCATATCACATTCTCGGCACGTTCTCCTGCCGGTTTCTTCAATGAATTTGGCCATGAATGATTTCTGCTTTTGCTGAAGCTGCACCGCGCTTAAAGGATGGAAATGGCCGGGACAGGCAGTGCTCGGCGGGTGTCTTTACATAATATGCCAGGATGACATGCTTTTAAAAATGCTCAGGCTGGTGATCAAAAGGAATTGCCACCCCTCTTTTTTTGTACCCCGACTTTCCATTTGGGGGAGAGACCAAACTGCGGCGTAGCGTTGATGCAGTATTTTATCTTTTTCTCTTTTTCCCCCTCTCTTGTTATAAAAGCTTTGTATCAGACAGACCTGAGTTGGGAAGAAAAATCCAACACCACACACACATGTAGACCTACAGAATGTGGATGATGATTCATATTAGTTACAAAGTGATTCAGTTACACAAGACTCTGTGATGATTTCAATGTTTATTATTAGTGGCCAGTCTGTCACGCCTAAATTTTCCCACCAAGTTGGGTGTAGCCCTGCAGGTGTTGACACTACCAATATTTGGCTTCAGCAGCCGTTTTAAAGTTTGCATGTTGATCAAACAGACAGGAGGTCGGCCTTTGTGCTCTCTGCTTTTTCATTCACAGCCTTGATCTGAATCAGGTGATGCAGAGTTCATTTTAACCAAACAAAGAGTTTCTTTCCCTTGCCTCATGTTTTGGCTTGTTTCTGTCCCCACAGGGCGGCTTGTTGACTTCTCCGTAAACGTCCAGCCCTCAGCCTCCCCATGCCTCCATCTCCCCTTGACGACAGAATTGTGGTGGCGCTGCCAAGGCCGATCCGACCTCAGGAACTCCAACTGCGCCTGGACACCAGCTACCTGGACTCCATTGCCACCAGCACCAGCAGCAAGACAGTCATCAGCACCACCGTGGTGAAGATCCGGGCGACGGCCAATCTTGTAACGTATATGCCCTCATCCAAGGGCTCCACGCGCTCGTTGTCGTGTGGATGCAGCAGTGCCAGCTGCTGCTCTGTGACTACCTATGAGAAGGACAGCCAGAGCCTCAGCCACAGCCAGGTGAGTGCCAGCAGCCCCAACCTCAGCTATGCTGGGCCCCCCACCCCTATGGTCAGCAACCACGAAGCATTAAGCGCCCCCAGTCTGCCGGGAACCCCTAAAGCCGTGTCAACCGTGAGGGTCATCCACCCCAATGAGCTGGCCAAACGGATGACTTGCTGCCCCATGGGACACCCTGTAGGGCCCGTCCCGGTCATCATCGACTGCCGGCCATTCACAGAGTACAACAAGAGCCACATCCGAGGGGCAGTGCACATCAACTGCTCCGACAAGATCAGCCGGCGACGGCTACAGCAGGGCAAGATCACTGTGCTGGACCTCATCTCCTGCCGGGAGGGCAAGGACTCTTATAAGGGCATCTTCTCCAAAGAGATTGTGGTTTACGATGAGAGCACCTTGGACCCCAACCGGCTGACATTCTCCCAGCCACTGCATGTGGTCCTGGAGTCACTGAGGAGAGAGGGCAAGGACCCCATCATCCTCAAAGGTAACACCTTAAGTAGGTTTGTGAAGGCTTGGGGGAAGTAGGAAATAAGGCTTTCCAGGATAAAAAAAAGAGATAGAAAGCACCATTTTATGGGCTTTTGTTTGACTCTGGAGGGAGTAAATCTATTTAGACATCTGAAAGCAATGTTTGATTTAGCACTGGTCGACGCTTAGTGGCAATATAAACTGATATGAAACTACTGTGGTTGCATAATAAGGTGTAGTATGTGTGTAAAGCCTGTTAAACTTTAACCTATATTGTTTTGGTCAGCTGATATTGCCTGTAAACACAATGGTTGTATTTTTATCATGCTGTAAGCTGTGTACTGAAATATTACAGCAGTTATAATTCCATATTTACCAGCTTTTGCTCTGTCTACATCACCCTCATACATAAACATATGCACACACTCTTCACCAGCTTTCTATATGACACATATTAAGCATTTTGCAGGCAGGGAGAAGCAGTTAGCAGTTAGTAAATAAGGCAGGCCATTGAGATAGCAGTCCCTGGATCGCTGCCATGTTTTCTATCTTTGGTGTGTGCGCGCGCGCGCGCGTGTGTGTGTGTTTGTTTGACGCTGGAGCAGCATGTCATGTTGGGGGCTGGGCTGTGAGTGTTTTCAGTCACCGTCTAGCCGTAAGATCACAGCACCTTGATCTCTTCTTGTCTCTTTCTCTTCTCATCTCTTCGTCCTCTGGTCCTCATGTGTACTTTGGTGGACGAGGCTCCTCTCCTACACCGGTGCCTCTGTGAAGCTCGCCTCAGTGGGAGGAACAGGCAGACCGTCTTGCTCTTTTTTCCCCTGGTTTAATTCTTGCAAAATTCAAGTGGAATGAAATGGCCCAGCCTGACTTCTTTTTCTCTACAGGAGTGGCCAGTATCTCCCGTCTGACCTCATTTGTAGCCTATATAACATCCTATATAATGAAATACTTTGGATAAATCATTTAATGGTGGCTATTTAACCTAAATGTGAGTAGAAAAGCACAATATTTGTTACGGTGGAAGGGTCTTGATTATATTACAATTTATTCTCCTAATTCACTTTTATATCTCAGTGTAGTGGTGATTACAGCTTCACTTCCTTAAAATATATGACAGCTTTCTAACTAGTGGAAGCAGGGGGGTGATTGTGATGATAACAAACAATAGTAATAGTGACTATTTGGAACATGCGTGTATGAAAGCTGCTGAATTATTTACTTATACTCCATTATTTGTTCAGTAACCAGCATGTCTTATTCACGATTTATAGTAATACGGTTGTTGAGTGAGACTCTGCTCTACTGGAAACAAAATGATCCATCCCTGCCTCACTGCAGCTAAAAGCAGTAATAGGTTAACATTTAATCCGTAAGAATTGCCATAAACAACATGTCAGTAGAGTCGGAAGGTTTATGGTAAGCGCTGGAAACAGCAGGTCTGTGGTGTGAGAGGCCTTGCAAGGCAGAAGCGGTAATTTCTAAGCAGGAACTGAGCCTATGGCTTATGAAAGTGAGACATAGTCCTTGTGTTTTCCTCTGTGAGTTTAGTTTAGAGATAATGACAGACGGTCACACTCGACAGATTTCATCTCACAGCAATGTGCTGCTTCTGGAGATTCTGTTATTCTCAGTTTACTATGAAAAGTGCTGTTTTGTTCGAACCTGAGAAGAAAGACTAGTTCAGTTTGAGCCAAAATAGGTAGCAGCTTTCACACTGTGTGGCTAGTTTAGTCATTGTTTTGGTTCACTGCTTGCATCAACCTCATTTTCTGTGAAAAAGCTCTGAGCAAGGCAATGTACACTCCTATCTCAGCACCAAGCAGCAGACAAAGTGAGCGATTAGAGGGTGAACAAAGTGGAGCATTTAGCAGCTAAAGAGCTAGATAGTTCCCTCGAGAGCTGGTGGAGACCAAAACAGAGCTATGACTGAGAGTAAAGTGGCCAGAAATATGACTACAAATAAATGCTAATGTTACTCTGTGTCTGCTACAAAAGGTTTGCTAACACATGAACACATTTATAATGTGACAATATGTAAATGGCGCGTTTATAGCTTGTTTCTCTGCATGCGAGAAATAAAAAAACCCCAACAATTTATGGTTCTTTAAATTCAGGCAATATTTTTCTAATGAGCCATAAAGATGAAGAAAAATAGTCTGGTAAAACGGTTATCATAAATTCAGATCTTGTAACTTATCATTTGAACTTATCATTTGAAGGTGTATGTGTGATTACGCGACAGACACGGTATTATGGAAAATGTTATTAATATAGGGTTTTTAAATGTCTTTAAAATGGCCTGTATTAATACAACTATCATATGAGCTCAGAATCTTTGGAAATGTAAGAAAAAGATCAATTTCAGTGGAAGTCCCCCTTTAGGTCTTGTTGTCAGAGGGCCTTTAGAGATTTCCTTTTCTTTTAGTGTAATTATTACCATGGCATCCGACTATAGTAAGGGCTGTGCCATTTTTAGAATAACATCAGGTTAATGTCTTTGTTCATGATAAACAATCAGGCTCTTTTATGGTGAACACACTGTCTGACAGTTGACAGGAGATCCCCACCTGCCCAGTCACTGGGGGAAAGTTGTGTGATGACTTCACATGCCATGATGTCAACTCTTGTAATGTGAACAATATATGAACTGATACTGTGTGTGTGTGTTTGTGTGTCTGACACTTTCCACCCCTCCCCACAACTCTTGTGCTGAAAGGAAACTTTGGCTGATGGCATCACCGGTAACAGGTGCAAACAAAGTTATTTGGAGAAGTGCAGATGTCCAGTGAGAAGTGTATTAAACATTTAGTTAATCTATTTATATGCACATTAACAAGGGGTATTTCTGATGTCGCTGAGCTGCTGGAAACGGTCTAACTAGCTATTTTGGCCATTTCTTTCCTTCTTAAAATGCAAATGGAGTTGTTGCAAATAGAAACACTGCCAATCCCTTCATATTGATTTAATATCCAAATGGAGACATTCAAATTACAACCAAATGTAACAGTGTGGTCTGGGGATCAGAGACTTCTGTAATGTTTTTGCGCTTCGGAGGTCTTTAAAGCGAGTTGTCGTTGCAAGATGTGTAGGCACTCGTTAACGTGTGCCATGTGGTGGACAGAGGAATGAATGCATGTATTTTTAGCATAGCTCCAGTGGGAATTGAACCCTTAACCCTGGCAGTGTTTAGCTTCACGCTCTCTCCAATGAGACCAACAAGGTCCAACTTGCAATTAGGAAATAAATTCACTAATAAAATGTTGTTTGACGGTTGTATTCTTTCTTTTTTTTGCTACATAATTTGACTTTCTGCTTGCTCTGTAAAGCAAACGCAAAACAGTAGCTTAAGTTACAATCTTTCTGTTTGTCTTCTTCACAGGAGGCCTTAGCTGCTTCAGGCAGAGCCATGAGGACTTGTGCGATCACTCGTTGCACCTTCATGAGGGCTTGGACACCGGTGCAGCTGCTGGCCTGACGGGGGCGCTACCTCACTCCCTGCCCTCCACCCCGGACATAGAGAACGCAGAACTGACACCAATCCTGCCGTTCCTCTATCTGGGGAACGAGCACGACGCTCAGGACATCAACCAGCTGCAGCGCTTTAACATCGGCTACATCCTAAACGTGACCACCCACCTGCCACTCTACCACTACGACACGGGCCTCTTCATCTACAAGCGCCTGCCCGCCACGGACAGCAACAAGCAGAACCTGCGGCAGTACTTCGAGGAGGCGTTTGAATTCATTGGTATGAAACATGTCACTTAGTTTAGCAATAGAAGGTTTCAATTAAGAAATGTAAGCTAACACAAATATTTTGTCTTCTGACCCTTTAAGACAATGTAATGTCTACTTCAGAGCTTTAAGCAAGAATTTAAAATCTCTATACTGGGTGGAACTCATTGGGATTAAGGCCAGAGATCACTGTGGTGCTATAAACCAAGCTGGTTGCACGTCACTGGCAAAGAAACTGTATTTTAAATGGATAGGTCACATCAGGCTAATTACTGATTCCCTAAGCAAATCCCTATTTGTGGCTCACTGGTTTGCCCTGTTGCCTTGTGGCAAGAAGGTCCTGAGTGTGACTCTTGTCCCTGGTCCATTCTAGAGTTTGAATGTTACTTCAGAGTTTGCAGATACTTCTTTCTGCAATCAATAAACTAAAGATTTCAAATAGCCTAAAAGTATTGCGTTGTAGTGTATGTTTCTCAGTAAATTAGATTTGCAAAAGGGTGCTTTCTGGGTGCTTTTGGCCAACATGTTAGCAGTCCACTTTGATATTGAATAGAAATACGTAGGAAATGGTTAGAAAATTGATGATGTAGGGCTGGTTATTGTTTGAAATGTTTTATACACCTTTTTTATACTTTAAAACGGCAAAACTCTTTAATTTTACAAGAGAGTTCTTAAATGTAAAACACTAGCCCCCATACTAATTTTGTATTAAGGCAAAGCTCTTTGCCAAAATAAATTACTAACTAACTATGATGACAAAAAAAATTCAGTAACCAGGCCTAAATAGCTGCCTGGTCACTAAGGAAGTTTTAATATGTTATCATGCATGATGAATATCCAAACAAAGCAAAACAAAGCATTTACTGTATTTTGTTCTAATTGTTCCCATGTTCCTCTCTGCAGAGGAAGCACATCAAGCAGGTATGAGCCTTCTGATCCACTGCCAGGCAGGCGTGTCTCGTTCAGCCACCATCGTGATCGCCTACCTGATGAAGCACACCTGGATGACCATGACAGACGCCTACAAGTTTGTCAAAACCAGGAGGCCCATCATCTCCCCGAACCTCAACTTCATGGGCCAGCTGTTGGAGTTCGAGGAGGACTTGAACAACGGAATAACGCCACGAATCCTCACGCCAAAGCTGATGGGTTTGGAAACCGTTGTCTAAACGAACCCAATCGACTTGATGCCCACACTTGAACTCACTCTCACGGTTTTTTCAAGAGAGGCCGGCTGCTCCGTTAGCTGGTTTGGAGTGTGGGAGAGAGAGAGAGAGCCACTGTTTTCTTCTTGAATCTCCTCATGCTCATCTTGGACTCTCTGGAGTACCAAAGCTCTGGGTGAGTGGTGATGTGAAATGCCAAAAATCCCTGCTGTTCGGACCTGGCCGAAGTCCCAGAGGAGAAGACGAGTTATAGAGATATAGAGATAGAGAGGTGCAGCGGTCAGTGGGAAGCTTTCCATTTGTCACCACAGAGGAGCAAACATGGGGGAAAAGGAAATCGGTTTGGAAAAGATACTCTATGTGCTTAGGGGCAATTACTGAGAAGAGAAACTCTTTAAGCTCACACTGTGGCACAGAGTTTATATTTGCAGACTCAGGCGGGGTTGGCCACGGCAGTGCCTGTCAAAAAAACAAAACAAACAAAAAAAAAGATGCCGACTTGTATGGTGTGTTAATGTTGTTGTTCTATTTTTATACAGGGGTTTATGGGGATGACCATGACGAGCCCACAGCGGCTTACTGTGCAATAATTTCAGAGTGGAATGCAACTGAGACCTTGATCTTATGTGTATATATCGGTAATGATTATGACACATTTTGATGTTAATGTAATTACTGTCGTTCAGTTCTATCTCAGTTTATGTTTAAGGTGCATACAGTTATGCTGTAATATTTGGCGCAGATAAGTGCGAGAGACAGAAAAAAATTGGGTTCTACTTTTTGAATGCAGCATGAGGGTTTTATGTCATCTGTGTGTTTCCAAAATACACAGAACCACAAATTCATATTTCGTGTGCTTGCTTCTGTATCTTCGTTTTGCCATTCCTGCATCCACATATTTTTAGCAATATGTATATATGTTACCAGACAGCCATAAGAGCTTTTTTATGCATGGCTGCTGGCAGAGGAAAGAACACTTTGAAATAATGAGTGAATATTGTCAAACAGGGCTACTGGTGATGTTTCATGTAACAGGACGGAGAACTTTCACTGCCTGCCTCTGTTGTCTCCTCTGTTCTTTTTTGCTCCCATTCAACCATGAGCCAGCTCTGTTGTAATGCACTCCACTTTGTCCCTATGTAGCTACATGTCTTTGTGTCAGTGCCCTAAATTTTGCGCTATGATTTAGTCCATTGTAAGGTAGCAGATTGAGGTACAGACTTCAAATAAACATTCACTTCCTCCCATGGGTCACAGTTTAGTGTGGTACAGGATGGTCCAGTAGAGCAGTGTGACCTTTGTCTAATGTTTTGCAACTCCCTGTCGCTGACACTAAGCTACAGTTAAGTGAGCTCCTCTGCCTTCCATAGGCAAGCGCTGCTGTCACGTGCTGCTCTAGTGCCTCTATCAATGCCTTAATTCATGTGTCACCGCTGGGCCTGCGCATGGTACACCATCACGTGCAGACGAATGCAGAATGCACCGAGGTCGAATTATAACTCACAGACAAAAGCAACCAAGCTTCTCTTGGCCTCTGTGCAAGATACAGATTTAACTTTTCAAAGATTATTTCTGCCGTTTCTGATTCATATGCAGAATTTGAAAGGACTTGCATTCAAAGATGCTAAAGAGCCTTGAGGTGAAAATGCTCATTATGTAACTCTGATCTCGTGGTGGTATTTGAAGGAGAATTTGAACTCCGCCGTGAATTGTAAATCAACACTGCACTAAATAGTAAAGAGTATATGCACGCACACACAGTTCACCCTCATCGTGTTGTATCTGAATATACTCACCTTTGACTCATATTGATATGAAGAGAAATACTGATCCAGACTGCAGATATTTGCATCGTTGCTTTTTTGAACAGAACCAAAATTTCTGAATGTTTTTACACATTCACTGTCTCAGCTGTCGCCAGTTTTAGTGGAAATTATAAAAAGGGAAACTCCGTAGTACCCAGGTGGGATGTATAGTTCACTTAGCACACAGTCTTGTTGAGATGACCATATAAAAAGTGAGCATTTAAACATAGAACAAATACTGATTTAAATTTTCGAGATCAGTCTTGTTGTGTGGAAGCCTTGAATCTCCGAAATGTTTTTTTTTTCTTTTTTAACCTAAGAAAAATAGCCTTGTTTTAGCCTGGTAAACACATATCTTTAAACAAATTGGTTTTGAATTGGTAAACCCAAGGGCTGTCAAAGTTTCCAACACATAAAATGCAGTCCTTCAACAGAAGTTTAAACATGAAATTCAGACCAAAAAACCCCCAAGGAGTACAATGTCTTCATCCAGTATTTTATATTTCTTACAATGGTTTCTGTTCTCTTCATGTTCTCTGGTGTCTGTTCAGCTCTCCATTGTTTGCTCAACAGTAAAGGCATAAAACAAAGCACAGGGCTAACAATATTACTGTCAAAGCACCAAAAACCAACATTTAATTCACATTACACCCTCTGTGAAGCATTATATCTTAAAAAGTACATTCTGAACCCATGCGTTTGGAGAAAGATCGCGCTTCTCTGTCAATGAGACGAATGCAAGGAGTTTCCATAGCATAGTGAACACAAAGACACAATGCACTCGGTAAGGCTTTACACCAAGATTCACGACAATAAGCTTCAAAAATCCCTCACGTGAAAAGTCATGCTATGCAAAACGAAATGTCCAACTGACATGAAAATGTGTTGTGAGGTCTTTGCGAACATTTTGAGCATGAATAACAGTTTGCAGCCTCGGATTAAAATGAGTTAATTTTTTAAGTGTGACTTATAGACAAGGAAGTAAAAAAAAAAAACAAAGTTGGCGTGGTGACGTGTCCTCACTTGTTATTTTTGTTGCTGTTGTCTTTGGTGTCTACTGGTGCTCCACAATATATTTGAACATGATAAAAAGGTATATAATAACAATTTACTACACGTTTGTAGCTTGTGCATTTATATTCAGTGATTTGCAAAAAAAAAAAAAAAGAGTGCTTAACAACTGAGCCAATGTTATATAAGAATAATGTACCTTTTCATCTCATCTGCTGGGTCCTACATCCACAGCGGCACATGGATTTTGTATGTAATGATCTATTTGACTGAACAATGTAACCGTCGTACTGTACATTACTCTCTGGTTGGAAAAACGAAGCATGCTGTGTGCTCCTGGGCTGTGAGGGACACTTGCGGTCATTATGGTGCTGTCTGTCTTTTCCCACACTGCTCTTTCTGTAAAGGCCATAGCCTGATTGACAGCTCCAAGAGGCATCTGGGTATGTGTTCCCTTTTATTTGGGAACACGGTTCTGTATTAGAACAATATCAAGCTGTTGTATTTGATGGGCACTCTTTACGACTAGACTTGTTTAAGAGTCTCTGCTTTGGGCTTAGTGGCTCCGGTGGAAATGGGCTTTGCTCTACAAGTCTCTGTATCTTTGTTTCTGTCTGTAGTCAACGGTCAAGTATATACAGTATATAAATATATATCTATTTTCTTTGTATGCATATATTCATTACTATTTTTGCACTGACCTACGGACAGATGGATTTATTTTTTTTCACAAAGGGTGCTATTATAACGGAGGCCTTCGCCCACACCTTTTTGCATGACTTGCTCAAAATTCCCCAACTGGTCTGTCATCTCTCCTACTCCTTGAACTGTTGCAATTGAAGCTCTGTAATTTTGTAATCCCTACTTGTGAGCTTTGAAATAAACAGGGAGGCTTCAAGTTTGGTTTGGCGTCCTGGAGGTTTATTTTCTCCCGGTTTCTTTCTACGTGGAGGAACTCACTTCTTTGGCTGCAGAGAGAATAAAGTAGAAATATGTTTCTAACTTGTTTCCCTGTTTCTGACACACTGTGAAGATGTTTTACTCTGTAAAAATGTAAAATGTTTAAAGCTGCTACAATCAATATATTTATATGAACAATGAAATGAGTAGTGTGAAAAGGGGTTGTTTGTAGTGACGAATCCACAGGATTATCACCTGACTATGATTGACACCTGACCCTGAGTTTTGCATAGCATCTTTCAGTTCATTGTTTTGTTTTTCACAGCTCTTGTCAACTTGTTTCCAGATGTTCTCAACAAAAAAAGATCTGATAAAACCACTGTACACTAGCTGGTGAATGCAGTGGAGCATATAGCAACTATAGAGCCAGCTATTTCCACCAGGACCTGGTGACAACCAAAACAGAGCAACAGCATTGCATTCATCAGGTGGCTGATGTGCTGATGTGAATGATGATGCTGCTCCGTGAAAATGAGCAACTTTTTGTAAATAAGTTTGACATATCAACCTAAAATATGTCAGTGTTGTGTTCCAAAAAATTTTAGGTTTAAATTCTAAGCAAGAGACTTGAAGGGCTGCAACTAATTATTGCAAAAGTCAGAAGTGAAAAGTTGTTATCATATTTTTCCAGAGTCAAAGGTGACATCAACCAATGATCTAAAACAGAAAAGCAGAAAGACATCACTTTTTGGAAGCCGAAATTAGCACATTTTTGGCCCTCCTGCCTGAAAAATTACTTAAGCAATGAATCAAGTCTGACGATCGGCTAATGAATTAATCAATTCAATTTCTTCAGCTGTACAAGAAATAGTGGTACATTAAAAACACCCTGATATTAAAAGAGAAACAACAGATTGAGGGATAAAGAGAGAAAGGAAAATTTCACGTGACCAAGGCCCTGTAATACAATCGAAGCCAGAAACAACAGAAGCTCAGAGACTCCCTAATCATTGGGATCAATAACAACAAAACAAGCCTTACAGCGTGCACTTTAAGAGACAGCCCCATCAGCCTCTTGACATTTGAGCATCCAAGGGAGTACACAGCCAGAGTCGTGAATTATCTGCACTCCCCTCTATTCAACCATGTGTCACATAGCTGCAGGAGTTATGGGCCTATATTTACTCCATCTTTGCAGGAGTATACCGCCTCATTGCTAGCAGCGAAGGATTGTGGGGGGTGCTGGCCTGAGGGTCAAGATCTCTCCATAGGAACAGGCACAAAAATAGTTTTTAGCATTGTTTCTAATTACAAGTGATGAGTGCCCCGCCTCATTAATCCTTTCCTATCAGCACTAGGCAGGCTGGCAGCACCAGAATAGCCCTGATCTTTGTGCTGCTGCACGCCGCTCTCCAGCGAGCCCTGCATGGACGTATTAGGCAAAGCAGGAGAGGAGAGGAGGAGGACCTACCTTTTCCATACACCCTCACACACAAACAGGTGCACACACACACACACACATAATCAAGTGTGCATACTTCACAGTCAGAGGAGGCGGTGAAATAAAGCAGAGAGGATCTCAGAGCTTGAGGACTGCTGCACTGGTTACCATCAAAGCCTTTGTCAAAGGAAGATGCACTCGCATGTCACCCCACCAAAGCTTCGCTAAATGCCACAGCAACACTTTGCACTTACAACTCAGGCATAACATAATGCTTCTCATGTTAAGCCAACTTTATAACAAAATATGCAGTTTATATAGATTTAGGTTAATGAGATAAAAATGGGAACACAAATATGTATTATAATAAGTATGAAAAAAAAGCAGATGCCAAAGTGCTCAGGTTCACTAACAGTTGAGTCAAGTGCGCCTTAAGGTGCTAGTGAAGATGATTTATTGTACCAATTGATATCATACTGAGCTACATAATTTGTATTAACATTTTGATATACGTAACAGTATGTTTTCTTTGTATCTGCTGATCATTTCACTATTGGAGAGAACAATGTTTTCTTCCAGTGTACGTTCTACGTCACTGGCTTATTAAGGGGATGAGAAAGAAAACTAGATTTTTTGCTTTGATTTTTCCATTTTTTCTTCTTTCACATGAAACAATCTGGAAAGGTCAACTCAATCCTTGGATCAACTGCTCACAACCTGTCCATACACAGGCCATGGCTTGTAAAACGGTTGGGAACCACTGGTCTATTTAGAAAACCAGGTGGGATCAGTACCAATACTTGGAGTCTCTGCTGGTTGCCTGATAACCTCATGGTCCAGACAAGATAGTAGGATGTCAAGAAACAGTCACATAATCCCCCTGAAAAACAAAAACAAAAACCTGCTTCATGCTTTACACTTTTTATACAGATTAAACAAACCACATATAATGTATTAATTAGTGAGGTTTGGAGGTGCTGTCAGATGGATTTTGTTACCTTTAGACAGAGTCTGGCTAATTGATTCCCCCTGCTTACAGTCTTTATGCTAAATTAAGCTAACCAGCTGTTTCATATTTACCATACAGCAGGGGTGGCCAAATTGTGGCCCACTGCCCAATTTTAAATGGCTTGCTGTTTGCTTTTTAAAAACAAACCAGAATATGGCTAGAGTTTATTTCTAATAATTAACTACCTGCTTCATTTCACCAGATATGCTGCGTCAAACTGCACAGACCAGATCGAGTCGGGCAGAAAGTACGACACATAAAACGGCATACAGAATCCAGTCAATTTTCAAAATAAGACACCCTGTGCAGACTCCTGATTGTATATCAACAATAAACACAATTAAAGCAGACATGATAACAAAGCACAATAATATAGGAAAAATTACCAAATCAACACAATCTGAGAAAGTCAACAAAATCCAGCAGGCAAATCGCTCCGGTTCCTGTGGGGTATAAAGCCATGCAGAGGATGGAACAAAGCCGGGTCGCAGATGCAACGTTATAGAGACGAACATGGTGGAATCAAGGCTAGAGCCTCTGCCATTTTGAACAACTACTTGACCTTTAAATGATGGATTACTAGTTAAGTTTAAACATAGCGTAACCGGAAAGACTGAAGATAGTGAGTGAATGAATTTCAAAGTCTTGTTTTCCTGTATATGAAAATCAAAAAAGTGGTATCAACTTCTCATCTAATTATCCAAGAAAGTGTATTTCACAAAACACTGAATCATTTCTTTAATACTTCTGACTAAATAAAGGCTTTTAATAATTGCTCTGTCTATGAGTGTCTGAAGACCATTTCTTTTCTGTGACAAATAAAAGCGAATACGTGTGATGTAGATGAGTCAGGCTGCAGACTATGTGGACAGTGGACACCCACTGGGGCTATTCCTGATGGGCTCCTTGGTGCCAATTAAAGGAAATATTAATGTTACAGGCTAAAAGGACATTTTTAGAAAACAGTTCCAACCTTGTGGCAGGAGTTTGGAGAAGACCCTTACCTTATTCAACATGACAGTGTCTCTGTGCACAAAGCCAGGATCATAAATAATGGTTTTAAGTGTGCCAAAGCTCTTGTGTTTGAATGGGAGCAAATCCCTGCAGACGGGTTTCAAGATCTTGTGGAAAGCCTTCAAAGAAGAGTGGAGGCTGTTGCAATGGTCTATTAATGGCCTAGTGTTAGAATGAGATGACCAACAATCACATATGGGTGTTACAGTATATTTGGGTGTCTAAATACATTTGGCCACACATTATTCATTTCTGTGATGTAGATTTGTCAGGATGAGCTGTATATACTGTCCCACTCACTGTAATATATTCTTGCTGTAAATGAGTTCTGCCCTGTGATTCTCCACAGTCAGTGAGACAGAGAAAGAGAGAGAGAGGATGTAGAGAGAGTGTAGGACAGAGAAACAGAGCAGAGCAGCGAGGAATGGAGTGAGATGACACAGAAAGAAAAAGTAGAAGAGGTCATGACCCATTTCACACAGTGTGCCAAGGAGATTACAGGAGGTCTTCAGGCATGACACGGACGCCATGGTGATATCTCTGAAAATAAGCAGATGCGAATATGCCACATGCAGAGGAGCTGAGGACAGGGAAGGACAAGGAGCTCAGAGAGAGGACGCAGATGAAGAAACATTTTATTCTGCGAGATCAAAATGATACGGAGGGCGAGATAAAAATGCTGTGATCCGGAGCTGCTGAGTCCACAAGCTTGCAGAGCGAGTGTAGCAGCGGTTTGTTATCGCTTGTGGCACATGTTGGACTTTTGAAGTGTCATGTCTTGTTACGTATTTGTCGCACACTGACCACTGCTCAAGAGACAGTCAGGGTGGTGATGCTAAGCCATATGTCATACAGTGTCGAAGCTCCTCCTCCACCAGAGTGTCACTTTATCAGAACATAACATGTCATTTTCCAGCTCTAATTTGCCACGTGATTCATATACAGTGATGGTTTAATGTATTCATGGACACTTGAGACAGCAGATCCTAAATGGGAAACATATAGTCAGCTTTGACTTAAATAACTTACTTACCTGTGTTTGCATAGCTGTATCATAAAGTCAGCTACACTAAAATCCAATTACACCCCAAACACATTCAGATATGACAAATATCATAAAAGAGTAATGTAGGCGTCAAGTGGCTGTGAGTTCATGTTGAGGGATATTTCTGTCAGCCTTATGACCTAATGGGTTTCTGTCACCTCTTTCTTTTTCTGTTCTGTACATGCACAAAAACTACATGCACACTACCAGGACCTCCCCTAGGTGGATTGCAGCCATCGTTAATGTTATTAAATACACCTGTGCTTCTCCTGCAATGACAATGTAGCATTTTAAAAATACTCTGGGAACGTTCTGTTGGTTTTTGAAATATTGATACTGCTCGTCCAGCATTGACAACATCTCGGTTGCAGCTGCACAAAGCAAAGTGCGTCCCAAAATTTGTTTGGCTGATGTTTGCAGCTGAGTTGTTCTTTTAACCTCTGGCCTTGTTTTGCTTCATCCCCACGAATCACACGAGGAGCTGGTCACACCAC